GCGTATTGCCACTGTATTGATGAGTGTGGGGAGTTTCAGCGTATTACCACTGTATTGATGAGTGTGGGGAGTTTTAGCGTATTACCCCTGTATTTATGAGTGTGGGAGACGGGGGAGTTTTAGCGTATTACCACTGTATTGGTGAATACCGATGAAGGACAGTGTGTTATATAATACTGCCACCCTCTAAGAGAGTTCGGCCTAGTATGACAGTTCAGGTCCGACAGTCCGGGTCCAGGTTCGGCCCTTGACAGATACAAACAGGGCAGGAATTATGTGCATACACCCAAATTTGTATAGTCTGAGTACAGATACGTTTGTGTACGTGAGTGTCTGTCGCCAAACCGGTTTATGGGTACCTTCAATGCTGTCACTGACGTCTGCGTGATCAGTTTCTATAGGTGCAGAGGAAACTGTAGGGCTCGGACTCTTCGTTGGGTCCCGTGAAGTACTAGTTGACGATTCATCTGGTGGTGATATCAGGAAGCCAACGAACATCAATCACACATTATCACACGTGGAAAGTACCAATGTCAATCTGTTCAACTCGACACCCCGACAGAATGAATGGCATTCCATATAGGAGTAGAACTGAGTTGGATCATGCAAATCTGCGAACATATACTGCCGTGTGAATGCAAGGCAGCCGTGGAAGGAATGGTACACACTCGGTATAGACGTTTCACGCAAACGGGCGGACACCGTGGCACTCCTGATCAACCACTCATTCAGGCAAGCACATACACATGCACGAGTATATATGCACACACACCGCCTCGCCGGTAACACACATAAATACGAACACCATGACGTGAACAATATGTATACACATCGCCTGATCACGAACCAACCTGCGCCACTGTGCATTGAGGGTCCGCTCGCAGCCTCTCGTGCAGGCTCCCTCAACACGCCCTCGTCCCCTATGTTAGTGTCACCGGACTGTTTGTGTAGACCGGCAACGGCGGCCCTGTCCTCTGTTTCCGCTGCGGTGTACACTTCGTGTGCTGTGCTTCGTTTGGGGCGGGTTCGCCCTGCACCCAGCTCTGGTACACTGTCGCCGGTGAGCGTGTCCAAGCCACGCATGACATCCTGGCCCATATTGAACCCTGGACCAGCCACTGGAGACACCTCCGCTTCCGTCGCTGGTGACTCCTCGGCCGTGCCCTCTCTGTGTGGATGGGACCGGTCCTCTGCCTCGACGGAGTGGACAGGACCGAGAATGGCTCCGGCTGACGGATCACCCAAGCCTGTGTCTACTGCTGCGGTTGCCGTAATGGATTCCCCAACGCTTGCAGCTGCGCCTTCCCTGTCGGTGGTTGTAGGTGTGTGCCTGCTGTCGTCACTCGAGGTGGCACCTACCTTCCTTTCGGTAGAAGCTGTGTCTGACACATTACTGGGTGCTCCATTTCCTTCTGCCGTGCCTCGTTCGTGCACGCGGTCGACTCCCCCGCTACTCTCGTACACCGGTTGCTCACGTACCACGCTGGGTAGGAGGTCTTCACATGGTCTTGCTGAGCTGTTCACTATATCTGCTACCTTAATGGGTGTTCCCCTTGATGGCCTATCTTCTGCATTCGCTGCCGCATGTGGTGATTTGCTTTTTGATCCATCTTCCGTATGTGATTTATTTGGCGTCTTGGCTTTGGCCTTACCTTTTGAGCTTGGCCGCCTTCTGGTGCTGACACCCGGGTGTGCCGATGCGAAGGTACACTCATCCACCGTATCCAAACCTCTCCTCGACCTCCGTTGCACTTTCTCACACACCGCTGCTGCTTTGCCGATGCTGTTCTCGCCCTTTCCCCCGCTGTTATTCACGCGTACACTCCCCTTCTCTGCTCCATCCATCGCTGTGTCGACGAGCATGGCAGTCTCTTCTGCTGCTCCTGTCTCCATTGAGTCTTGTGCGTGTCCGCTTCTACCCACCACAGCTTCAGCAGTGTCCATGGGGTCGCTTACACTCGCCTCAACGGCATCGCCACGCTGTCCCGGCGCGTCCTTTGCGTGTGTGCATTGGGGCACAGCTGTATCCCTGTCGTCCAGTTCTCGTGTTGGTGAGGTCAAACCGGCGATCGCAGTTGCTGTAGACCCGGCAGTAGTGCTGCCAGCCACATGACTCGCGTGGGCTGCATCAGTACCCGCAGTCATATCGACAGTGCTACGCTCAGTCTCCCCACTGTTGTCCCTCTGTTCCGTAACCTCTTCGGTTGCATCTAAAACACCGCCAGCGATGTTCTCGTCTATGGTGTCACAACTGACATTCCCAGGAAGGTTATCAGACCTACCGGGAGGTCCCTCCTGTACCCCATCGGGTATGGCTGCTTGCTCAAGACCGCTTCCTTCGGCTTGCCTGTTGTCTGTGTCTAGGCCTACCGTCGCTGCCATCCGCTGCCTATCCTGGGTGTTCGGTACCTTTGCATTTGCATTCTTATTCGTCTTCGTCGGTTCTTCGGTGTCTCCCTCCGCCCCCGAGGACTCATTGACGCGGCAGCGAAGTGCTGCACTTTCAGGGGTAGACATTGCCTCCAGTGTGCGCTTGACACCCCGCGTCACCCGAGTATCCGGTACCACAAGATCTGTACCAACAGACCCACAGGCGCCGATAGATTCCGTACGCTCTGTTGCTGACCAAGCCACTTCTTCCGTGCCATTAGTGGCAGTGGCACCGCCAACGTTCACCTGTTTTGTGGGGCTCTCGGGCCGCTCATTGCCACAGATATCGACCCCATCGCCATTCGCTGGGACTGCTCGGGCTATGTCGGCGTCGCTATGGCCTATCGACTCACCGATATCGGCTATAGCTGTACCACTTGCATCTAGTTCGACAACATTTTTGTCTACCATCGAACCGCGCTCGGCTATCTTGGCACCAATATCCTCCACCAGATCAGGCTCGGAGACGAGTATCTCATCCACACCATCGCAGCCTGCCCTACCTCCGGCATGGCTAGCCTCGCCCGATTCAAGAGCCTCGCCCGATTCAAGAGCCTCGACACCACCCCCAGAGCCAGATGAATCAGTAGCATCACCCACTCGACTATCTATCTCTACATCTAACTTACTACAAACAGCAGGAGGAGTTTGTCTCTCACTACCATCGCTCACAAAACTCGCCCCTACACTCGTTCCGCAAGTAAGGCTCATAGTAGTTCCATGACTAGCCGATGGCGTGGTCTGTCGCCTACTCTCAGGCCCTTCTTCGCAGGTGTCTGCGTCCCTCTCGTTCGTTGACTCCTCTACCTTCCCCCTGCCAGCATCGGTACGAACAACCGCACTTGGAGAACCCGTGGTATCATCTATATGATGCATAACTTCTCCCTCGGATTTCTCTGTCTTCTCACCGCCAAAGTCCGTGGGCACCACAGCGCTGGAGACGTCGGATATATCCTTTCTACTATCTAAATGATCTTGTCCCTCTAGCTCGCCCGTCTCCTCACTGTCAACAACGTCGAAATACATCCCAGCACTTGGTTCGTCTGATGTAACATCCACTTGGCTCGCTTTTCGCTTGTGCCGCCGACAAACTCGTGCTTTAGCGCTATCCAGTGCGCGTTCAGCGCTTTCTAGTGCGCCGGTATCCATGGTCTGCTTCGGCCTGGACAAGGTTTGATTGAAAGGGAACAGAACATAACAATGTGATGTGACGCGTCAGTACAGATGATACAAGTATATGATAAAGTGCCGCGGAATTGATATTGAATTGGACAGAAACTGCATATTTCGGGAGGGTTTGAGATACGACAAAGGTTGAGATTACTATCATTTGCCGTCTCAGTTTAAGGAGTGCGAAACGACGTGGCGAAAAAAAAATGTGATTATCTAATGATTAAACCGGTTCTTGGCCCGCGATTGTTTGAATTTGGGCCATATATGCTTCCCCATTTCTAATGAATTGGAATACAATTTCATTAAACGGGAACAAATCACCACATGCACATCCCAAAATAAAGACAACATGTGAGTTAGCCGCCAAGCGTTGTATGGGAGCGCACACCGTATGGCCAACCCGCTAACCTGGTATTTAAGCCTCTCGCACCCACCAAAGGAAAATCATACCTGTCGTCGTCACCACTCATGGAACCAGCAGCACTAGCTGAAGCACTCTGTGCACAAGTTGTACCCATTTCCTCCGTCCTATTCGCCTGGCGCTCCCCACCCGACAACGCAGACGCCTCCCCAGCAGATGCGGCAGCTCTCTCATCCACACTATCGCCCTCGGTGTCGAGGGCTTTAGGGGTTTGAGTGCTAGTGTTCCGGATACCAGCCCCAGCACTTTTAGGACTGAACCCCCACTTCCGGGGTGTTGAGCCACAACTCGCACTGGCGGCGTTGCCCTTGCCCTTGCCCTTCCGTGTCTTCCGTCGGGTGCTCACACCCCGATTGGCACTCGGCGAGACCTCGGGCGTTCCCTCGCCAGACACTCGCATGCTTCGCCGTCGGGTTAATTTGACCGGCGTATTCCCCATGACATTGACATCCATCGAGGCAGACATCTCTGTCTCCTCCCTGCCAACGTCTGGTGCATTCGCGGGCAATGCTGCATGCGCCTCCGTGGCCAGCTCATCCTTACCTGTGCTGGTGTTACGCAGTGACACATCCGTGTGTGACTCCACTTCCTGTGCACTCCTTTTCTGGTCCGTTCCCATCGGGTGTGCCCCATTGTCGACGGTTATATCATCTGTGTTTTCTACCTCTGAACTGGTGCGTATACCTGTGCTAGTATCAGCACTGATAGTTGCACCCACACTCGGTCCCAATCCCGCTTTCACACTCTCACCAGCGCCTCCTCCCATGATTACCTCGTTTGCCACCCCAACTCCAGGCCCAAGGTCAGCCGACATTTCGGCTTGCGTCCTAAATTCCTCCTCACACATAAACTGTGCTTCTCTCTCGGCCAGCGTGATTCTTTGTCTCTCGAGCGCATTCTTTTCCTCGGTCAAACTCCGCTCCATCGACCGCAGCCTCTCCTTTTCCTTGCCGAGCATGTTCATCCCATGCTTCAGAATGGCTTTCTCGGCCACAAGCAGCGTTTCTCGCTTCTCCAGTGATAGCAGCCCCCGTTCTGGCTGTGTATGCGTGCCGCCTGTTGTACTAGTTAAATCCGTCTTCTCTTCTGCTCTTAATTGACCGGAAGAGTCAGACTCCGAGACTTCTGATACCCGTTTTGATTTTTGATCTTGAATGGCCTTTGCATCACTCAAACCACGCTCACGCTCCTCTAGTGCACTTTTCCGCAGTACCAACTGCTCGCGAAGCCGTTCCATATCCTTCCCCTGTGCTTCCAACTCAGCTCTATCTGTATGTAGCCGTCGCTGGTCTTCCAGGAGGAGCTCTTCACCTTGCCTGAGCACCCGTTTCGACTCCTTGACGGACTCCAATTCGAACTTTAGGGCCGCTCGGATCTGCTCAATCTTGAGCATGGTGATCCTACCCGCCTCCGCTTGTCCCTCCACCATCTCTTCAAATGCTTTCTTCTCTGCCCCCAACTTCGCTGTTTCCTGGTGCACGCGGCCCAGCTCGTTCTGTAAGGTCTGCCGTTCTTCGGCAATCTTCAGCATGGTGATTCTGGTGTGGTCGGAAAGAAAAGGAAGTACATTAAGAGTGACAAGTACACTGGACATGCACCCAGTCTGATAAGGATATAAAAGAATAGCCATTCAGCTGCCTTGCCAATCTCTGGGCTTGCAACCAACATGCACTTGTGTCGCACTAGCACATACAACATTGCAAAGAACCACGACGACGACGACGACTAAACTACTACACACCTTCCCGCCTCCGCTTGGTCAACCACCAACTTCTCAAAGATGGTCCGTTCAGATCTCAGCCTCTCTTCGGAAGTTGCCAACTCACCAAGGCTTAACCGCGCACGCTGCCCCAGTTCAGTGCCATCCTGCGCCACATCAGCTGCTTCTCTCAGTTCGGTACTCTCGCATGATGGGCTTGGTTCCTGTATCCAGGTCCAAAGGTTCGGTACTCTCGCATTATGTTGCATGACATCGCGTTCCATATCCAGGTCCAAAGGTGGCTCAGATACCAGCGTACTGCTTGCCTCAGAAACGGCCGTGTGGTCGACATCACGAGCTGTGCCCACACCACCACTGACCGCTGTCGCGTCAATAGCACCTCCCATACCTGTGTGTTTGGCTGCACACACGCCTGGCTCTGTGGTTGTAGTAGGGTTTCTCACTGTCGACCTTTCGACCTGTGGCCTACAAGCAACTGTCGAACTTCCCTCTGGCACTGTTGCATGTTCAAGGCTCTGGCTAGTAACCGCCTGGGTCATGTCGCCCTGATCTACTCTCATACCACTACTTGTGCTATGTGTTATGCCTGACGCGAGGTCTGTGATGTTTCCAATAGGCTCTGTTGTGTCGTTATCCACCTCCATGTAATCGACGTCCACGCTTGTGCCAATGCTAAGCTTGGCGTCTGGCTCAGCAGATCCTGCACCAAAATATTTATAAAAAAACATATTCGAGAGTTAATATCATTGTATTGATACCGATCCATTCTCAGTCTCAGAATATTGACACGATGGAAAGGAAAAGGCTGTCCAAACGCGGGGATTACATTGTACTCCCTCAAAGCTACAATGCCCCCGCAAAGTTGTAATTTCGGCACCACTCTCCAGATACATACTTATAATTTGGGCACACGCGATAATGAAAAGTCTACTATGAAGCCGTCCGCTCTATAGATACTATGGATGACCCAACAGAGCAAACACTGGGAAGGGACTTTACCACACCGTATGATTGCCAGCAGAGATAAGTGTCAAATACTGCTATATAGACACTCAAGGAGAATAGGTGCTCTATGTCTCCATATTTGAGTGTGTAATCATCTATACTAAACCCCATGCTACTGTGATGACCAGAATCATGTATGTAGTATAAAATCTCTGATAATACACAAAGATGGTGCCAAATCTTGCCATGAGTCTACATGCAATATGTGATCTAGTGTGAGCTACTCACATGTTAGACTATTCCTCTATATCTCTGCCACCCGATGAGGTACGAATTGATCATGATAGATACTATTTTAAGGTCTTTTTGATATCTAGGCAGGCGCAATGTTTAAGCCACCCAAATTTGCAGCGTGAACTGGCCGAACAATAAAAAAAAGCAGGGATTCACCTTTGGGTGTTGGACATGTTGCGTTACTCTCTGTGCTATCTTGTAGAGCGTTGATTGGTGAGGGCTTCGTTTGCGGCCCTTGAGGTGTACCAGAAGCTTGTAGGTCCGTCCACGCGGGCAGCAGAGGTATGCTGCGCTCGAGAAGTGTGGGTACGGGGCTGGTCCAATAAAACTCAAAGTCAGTATACACGGGAACGGTATACATTTATCTGAATGGTGTTACATATCGCATATTTTCATCAAATACGAAAACTAACATCCCCGCGAGTATGATTGGATTGGCATCGGGTGCTACGTTTGACTACCATGCACGAAATAAGCGTACTGTTTTACTTGGCTGAGATGTGTCAATAATGACTGAGATAGCAACAGATGTTTACGTAGGATCTCGGGCTCCCAATCGATTTTGGAGAAAAACCCCCGAAAGCAGGATAAATCAAATCTGTGCACCGAACCGGGCGAGAGAAGAAAAAAATACCTCTCTATATGTTCGTGGGACGCGCCTATCGGTTCTTGGAGTTTCGCTGGAGGTGAATGAGAAATATCATCCCTCTGCTCTACAACCTGTGCGAAGGCCCGAGTAACATGAGTTTTTAGTAACATTGCAACCTGCAGTCAGCCCATGCAATCATTGCACAGACGTGTAGGCGCGTAGACCAAGCACTAGCAACTTTATAATGGTTTAGTGTGTCTCACACGAATGCACTGTGTGCGGACGGTCGATCTACCAAACCCGACTTTACATCCGGGTGTGTATGCTGGTATGTCAGCCCAGACTTCACAGCATGGTGTTGCGCTCGAACACTCACAAACTCTCACTTTCCCCGCGTACCTGTTCCATATTCATTGATGAACCCGAGGAGTCGCCAGTGGTCTTAACCGCGTCCCCGTTCCCTTCTTCTCCGCGCTGTAGTCGGATACCCATTTGTGCTAGGCACTGGTCAAACAACTGCGCTTCTTGCTCGTCGCACACCGTCTCGGTATCGTTCAGCACTCCGAAAGACGACATCCCCAGCAACTGTACATACTTTGGGGTCGGGGGTATCACCTGTATTGCCGGGCAGGGCTTCTCGGGAAGTGTCCTGGTACTACTTGAGCTTGCCACCCACCCTTTTCCGATACCACCTACGAGCACAGGCGTGTTTGTCCTGTGGTGTGTACTCTCGTCGATATGAAGACTCGCTTCTGTGGCTGCTTGCTCAGGTGTCATAACCACTTGCTCGATACGGTGGGGTGATTTTCGTACAGGCGTAGTACTGCGCGAGAAATGAGCCTGTGCTAGTGTGCTTGTATTAGAAGAAGTATGCGGCTTCGTATCCTGCGGTGTGCAAACCAGCATTGGGTGATCCTGGGGCGTCGACTGGATCTGCGCTTGAGCGTCCACCCTCTCCAACCCTTGCATTAGAAGTCCACTGAATGTGAACGGAGAGTCTTCTCCGCCCAGTTGCGGGCATTGCTGTGAATGGATATCCGAGATGCTCTCAAGTGAGTTCAGCACCTCCTGTTGCTGAGGTATTGCATCCATCCCCAAACCATCACCCACACAATCAGAGCTGGAAACCTGAGCTGGCTCTTGGACGTTGTCGGCTTTTCGATCTTCAACGCTAAAGCAGATGATTGCGGTGGTAGTGGTGGTGATAGCCGGCTGGCTCTGACTGTCAATAGCACGTGGCTGTATTTAAGATGGCCAGGATAGTGTGTCAGCAGCCTAAGTTTGTGTGTGAGGGGTCTGATTTTGTGTGTGAGAAGTCTGAGTTTGTGTGTGAGGGGTCTCAGTTTGTGTGTGAGGAGTCTGAGTTTGTGTGTGAGGGATCTGAGTTTGTGTGTGAGGAGTCAGAGTTTGTGTGTGAGCAGTCTTAGTTTGTGTGAGAGGGGTCTGAGTTTGTGTATGAGGTGTCTGAGATTGTGTGGGAGGAGACTGAGTTTGTGTGAGAGTAGTCTGAGTTTGTGTGTGAGGAGACCGAGTTTGTGTGTGAGTAGTCTGAGTTTGTGTGTGAGGAGTCTGAGTTTGTGTGTGAGGAGTCTTAGTTTGTGTGAGAGGGGTCTGAGTTTGTGTATGAGGTGTCTGAGATTGTGTGTGAGGAGACTGAGTTTGTGTGTGAAGAGTCTCAGTTTGTGTGTGAGAAGTCTGAGTTTGTGTGTCAATAGTCTGAGTTTGTGTGTGAGGGGTCTGAGTTTGTGTGTGAGTAGTCTGAGTTTATGTGTGAGGAATCTGAGTTTGTGTGTGAGGAGACTGAGTTTCTGTGTGAGGAGACTGATTTTGTGTGTGAGAAGTCTGAGTTTGTGTGTGAGGGGTCTGAGTTTGTGTGTGAGGAGTCATAGTTTGTCTGTGAGAAGTCTGAGTTTGTGTGTGAGGAGTCTGAGTTTGTGTGCGAGGAGTCTGATTTTGTTTGTGAGTAGTCTGAGTTTGTGTGTGAGGGGTCTGAGTTTGTGTGTCAGTAGTCTGAGTTAGTATGTGAGGAGACTGAGTTTGTGTGTGAGGAGTCTTCGTTTGTGTGTGAGGAATCTGAGTTTGTGTGTGAGGAGACTGAGTTTGTGTGTGAGGAGTCTGATTTTGTGTGTGAGGAGTCTGAGTTTGTGTGCGATGAGTCTGAGTTTGTGTGTGAGGAGTCTGAGTTTGTGTGTGAGGAGTCTGAGTTGTGTGTGAGGAGTCTGAGTTTGTGTGTGAGGAGTCTGAGTTTTGTGTGTGAGGAGTCCGAGTTTGTGTGTGAGGAGTCTGAGTTTTGTGTGTGAGGAGTCTGAGTTTGTGTGTGAGGAGTCTGAGTTTGTGTGTGAGGAGTCTGAGTTTGTATGTTATCGACCTGCGGCTGATCAATAGACGATGTCTGTGTGGAAGTGTGCGCACATACAGGCCTCCAGAACTAACATGCCGTTCTGCAGTTTTAAGGAGAGCTGACCAGTAGGTGCATTTGAGACATTTAAAATCCCGAGGTTTAACGACTGTAACTTCAATCATCTACGGCTTGTTCGGAAAACGACTGCGACAGGGCGCTACGACAAATAAATTCATTAGAGCATGTCGGTCCTCCAGCTCTCATATCAGTACAAAGTTCATTGTAAAAGCAGGGCTATGACTTCGTACTAGAACTTGCAACGAAAAGCACGGGAGGGATGCTCAAACGCATCAATCTATAGCAACACATCGCAAACATTAAGATTACATACCTGTGAAACGCCGTTATCTGTACCACTCGCCCCGTGCATCTCGTTCATGGTCTTGAGAGTCAGCGGTTGCCTGGGGGCGACCGAGGCTCCCCCGCCGACGTCAGCATTCGCGACATCACTCGTATTAGTTTCGTACGATCCTTTGTCGGTCTGAAACTTCAGTGTCGGCCTTCTAGGACGTACAGCTGTGGTGCAATCAAATGTTATTGCTGTGTCATTGTATTATTCCATAATGCCTATTCATAAAATATCATGGATGTATAGTATGAATTATTATATCTATACATAGGTAGTATATATATAGTGTGTGTAGATGTATGCGCTCGTACTGCTGAGACCAATGTGATTTCCGGGATACTCACATCCCACCAAGAAATTCGATAAGTATTGCTTGCACTTGGCGTGGAAGATCAACGAGATGATGAAGCACTGATACATAACCATCAATACGAGCATTGGCAGTACATGCCGTTTCATACGTTTGATCCTCTATATGGTCACGTATTCTCTCCCAATCAATGGTAACAATCGGTTCAATAAAGATTCATATTAAAACAAATATGCAATGCTCATATCATACTTCGCCAAATCCTTTAATTTGGACGTAAAACAGTGGACATATATCGAGCTTGGAGAAATGTTCACATGCATACCAAACCTAAATCGTGCTACAGTGCGAAGTTGGCGTTCATGGCCACGAGCGGCTACACTACACAACTAACTTGAAGCATAATGTTCAGTCTAATAGTTATGATAGATATCTGTCGCAAAGTAGTGTATAGTCCTAAGTCTATGCGAATTGATTTGTAGTGACCCATGTACCACCTATGACGTTTACCATGCGCAATTGTTGTCTCCGTATTTCTGTGGCTACAGAGTACTGTCACTGTATTCCGCTATGTGCAGGCAAATTTGCAGCAACAGACCATTGCTCCGACATATGAAGACTGGAACACCCACCTATCCGTCGCGGTGCAAATATGTATCAAGCCTTGTACGACTTGGGACTGTACATAGAGATACTAGTGGCCTATTTGTAATCACACAATCAATATCGCAAACAATATACACTGCCGCACTCAATACATATTTGTCAAACATTAATAGAGCTTGCAACAACAGGAATCGATTACTCGAAACGGAACAATAATCGTTAAATCTATTTAGAGAAAGACTGGCTTCGTTAAAAGATTGACATCACAATATTCGATATACTACAACACAACAGCGCTCGAATATGCAATTACAAAACATAAGACATAGTATACACTTACAAAGCATGACACAAATATACCATTACCTCAATCATGTCTAATAACGGATGTACATATGCACAGCAGCATTCATATATGCCAGATCAATAATGTATCCAAATAGCTCGAACACAGTACCAATATACCGATATGTAAAGTATGCCCGTACATCGGGGACAGGTGAACACAATAAAATCAGTACACACAATAGTACTTGAGTACTTCAGCACACTCATGCAACGGGCTGTCAAGGTCAACGAAACACTCACCGCCAGTTGGATGAGAGGCACTCGCATCTTCTCTAGGCCGACTCATATTTATCAAGATTTCCACAATAACCTTGAATTATGAATCCCGCAATCACAGATTTTTTTCGGCATAGGTGCTCCTTGCTACGATTACATTTCTCAGCGAAGTATCAGATATGGGTAGTCGATTTCCATGACTTACATACAGGCAAACAAAGGCAGCATACATATATGAAACCGAATCACATTACATTGATCCTGCTCACATATGTAAAATATACTACTGACTATCTCACCAAGCGTCTAAACTCGACACCTGCTGCACGCATATGTATATCACAGTATCGAAGTACTTTAAAACGCAGAGGTATGTAAATATAATCTGCTATGGCCCGATGGGGTGCTATGCCGGTATACATATTTTTTAATTAACAAAAAATTAAAAAGCCGAAACTGACCGAACGGTTGCGAAACCTCAACCGCCAAAACATGTCGGATTCATTGGGCGTTTCATCACTTTATCCCGCATTCTATAAATAGATATATATAATCAGAATATAATAGCAAAACAGGTCAATAATGTCCCAAAATAAAATCGAAAGTTCAGGGTTTCGGACTGTTTTAGTCCCTATTGTACCTCAACAAAAAGAGGGGCGGGTGGTTTTTTTGTTGAAAATAAACAAAAAAAACTATTTATTTTTAGATACTGTTGTCCATTCAAATAGGCATAGCAGAACAGGCTGAATAGGTCAACACAAAGTCCCGGTGTCCCGACCTAGAACCCAAAGTTCAGACTCCTTCGCTGTTCTCCTCTATTGAATATATACCACAAATTTGGTTCACAGCCATTTTTTACAACCATATTCCGATTTTGAAATATCATAACAGGTCAACAAGGTCCCCAAATGAAAACCAAAGTTTGTAGTTTTGGACTGCTTCGGACCTAGTATATTTCGTCAAAAAGGGACATCGCTTTATAATTCTAGACTCTTGGCAGATTGATCAATTTGGGTGGTCCTTTGTCCGTATATGAAGTGGATGTAAAATCGCCGTGTTCTCTGTGAGCATTGTAATAATATAGTAAATATATTCATAGTGGCAAGTCGAATACGGTATACTATCAGCACAGCAGCAAGTGTATTTATAAGCATACATAGATCACACCACGGGCCAAAATAAAAAATAAGAAACAATGTTCAGGGTACAAGCCCTCTCACGGGCAGCTAGAGTGACACCGTCATTGCTCAGACCTGCGTCGGTGCTTCGCAGTTCTTTTGCACGTAGCATGTCCAAGGCAGCTAACGATCCTCGAGATCCTGCAGGTAGGTACTATTGATAAATATGTACTTGAAGAGAATGGAAAGTGTTGGTCGCATCATGATATTTCAACATGATATGATATTCGTCGCATATACACAGTGTCGGACTTTTAAATCTGGTGTGTGAGAAAGAAACGCAAGCTGTGAGATTTCTCGTACTAAATGAACACGACCTTATCTGTATTCGCGGTATCCTACGCACCTTATCTCGGTGTTGATCATTACTATTCTCTGCAAACAATATTTATCTATATATATATATATATATATATATATCTATATATATATATATATATGTGTGTGTGTGTGTGTGTGTGTGT